TTAAAAAATTAAGAAATTTATTAATTAAAAGTTTATTAATGAATAAAAATGATAAAAAAAATTCACTAAAAAATTTTCGTTACCTTAATATGAACTTTATTTTCATCTAAAATTCCATGTATATTAGCAAGATGTTGTATTGTATTGCTTGTACTATCCAAAGCTGCATATGTAACAGTACATAGTTTGCCATTAGAAAGAAGGTTTTTACAAGCCATTATTTTACCAGGTCCACTGGGATTATCTTTTTCATCAAAGAATTTCCATACAAAACTTCGCTTAACTGATCCACCAGACCCTTTATGTCGTAGTCTTTTCACAATATGTGTATCTGCATTGGTATTAACATTTTCATCAAATGAAGTTCTAGATACATTACTTAATCTTTCAAAATTACTTAAAATTGTTTTTTGTTCTAAAGAAACATTATTATTGAAATTTGTGTCATAATATTCATTAGAACCTATTTTATAAAACAAAATTTGTACAAAAAAATATGAAAAAATAATTTTGAAATTAAAATATCTTTCATGTGTTATTTAATTAATTTAGATGTTGCATGTGCGCATGCATATTGATACATGCCTATTAAACAATGGATCCAAATATTTGAATATCTGATTATCCGATTATCCATTCGTAGTTGGTGATAATCAATTAAATGACCAAATAATCAGTCAATATTTTCGTCTAATTGATCATCGTAATCAGTTGGTCATATCCGGATAATTTGACTACGGATTAAACGATTCAGATCTCTAGTTAAACTTATTTTTTTATAGTAAAATGCCGATCTTTGCTGCGCAATAACTCCTGATCAGATGGTCCGATTTGGACGAAATTTAGCTTGTTGGAATCGTCGCGCAGAGGAGAATCGGAATCTAGTATCAGTTTTATGATAGCTAGCCTACTTAAAAAGTTTTCTAAGCTCAAAAGTCATTAAGTACTATTTTTAATGTAGATCTTTATATTATACAAAATTGGCATTATTAATTGGCCAATAAATTTTTATAGGATGTTTTTCAAAATGTAAGGATTAAAATGAATCAAAAATTATGTTTCTAGCATTTGTAGTTAATAAGTTATAAGCGTTTAAAGCTAAAAATAAGTTGTTGCGTTTCTTTTGTCAGCCACTGTATACTAAAGTTATTGAGTATTATTTACTCAATTCCTTTTTCAAGCGTGGAATGTGAAAGGGATTTTTCAAAGCAAAACTTGATTAAAACAGATTTGCGAAATAATTTAAATAATGAAACTTTAAATTTGTTAATGATGATAGGGTTAAATGATGTAGATTTATTAGAATTTGATTTTAGCCGTACTTTAGAAATTTGGAATTTACAGTGTAAACGAAGAATTTAATTTCTTTAAATTTAATAAAGATTTATTATGGTCTGGTAAATTTATTTGAAACTGGATATTTTTCCATTTAATTTTTAAAAAATCCGGTAAATTTTTATGTAAACAAATATTTATCTGAAAATTTTGAAGTATTATTTTACGTGGAAAATCTTAACCTGCATCAGGATTTTAACCTGGACCCTCCAAATTTGATTGGTTCATCATGATCCCAGCTACATTAATTAATTATTTGTTTACTGTTTACCATTATGCACAATAATAAATCTCTCTTTCACATCTTTTTTATATTTTTTTAAGCTTTTGTTCATTAATAAAGCTAAAATATTTTTTCAACAGCAGTTCATAACTTCAAGCATAGAAGAATATTATCATGAAGTTGTGGACATAACAAATATGTTTTTTTGTACTGTATAAAGATTTATTTCACAACATGATTTCAATATTTTGGTTAAACTAAACAGGCGAAATACTGAAGGAGAGTTGTTCATAAGGTATGAAAATATTTGCATATTAATTTTCGTGAGTTTAGCTTGAAGTTATTGGTTTTTATTAATAATATTAAGACGTGTTTAATTCTTGTATTAAGGTGTAAATTGAACAGTTTAGCCAAAGAAATCAAGGAAAAAACTTAGGTAAAGTTGTTCTGTAGATATTGAAATTTTTATGTAAAAATTTTTATGAG